TAATTAATGGGGTTCTGCCTTCGGAGAAGATGAGCCAGCCCTCAAGGAGGTGATTATGTAATTTGCTAGCAATTCATGTCCCTCCCGGCGTGACGCTGCGCGCTGACGTCACGGGGCTGTAATGGTGGTGTGCCTCAAGATTTTTTTCATGAAACAAGTGTGCCTTTGCCCAAAAAAGGTTGGGAAACACTGAATCAGAGAAGAAAGGTGGGCATAACAAGAATTTTCTGACCTTCCAACGCTTTGAATAGATCCAAGGATATATTTAAGCAGAGACAATGCAAATGTCACATTGAATTTTCAAACTGAACATAAGGAATAAGGCAGGCCTGTGGGCAGCTGTGCCAAATCTAGACCTTCTAGCTCTGGTTTCCTGAGGTCAGTGGCTGGGCTGGGATAGAGAAAAGATGAAGCCTGAAATGCAGTAAGCATTTCTTGACAAGCAGAGGCTTCCTAATATCCATACCAGGCTTTGATTCCCCTTTGTAAAGTAGCATACTGCATTTCAGCCAGACAGATGGGAACGCCAACCTGCCATTTCTTTCACTAATGATTCACAGTGCCATTCCTTATCCAGTTCCGTGTTTTCCTACTGTCTCAAAACATCTCTCCCTGTTTGTGTTCTATCAGTTTCACTGTGGGCCCCCACTGTCCTGGCCATCACCTGGGGAAGAAGGAGGAGCAAGCTGACAGCTTGTGCAGTGTCCGAGAGCACAACACTAGTCTTCTTGCCAAAGCCAGGAAAGTGCCCTGAGCTCCCTCTGCTCTGCAATTGCCACAGCTAGGAAGGGGAAGCTCCAGCCAGACAGACAGCCAGACAGCCAGCCAGCCAACCAGCCAGACAAGCAAGAGGAATCATCACAGTTCATGGACACTTTCTGATCAGGCAAATGCACCCAAGGAAGGCATGCAGCAGGGGAAATAATGGGTGGAGTCTGGGGGAAGAAGTGTGGCCTGCCTGGGGAGACGCTTGAGGGCTGGATGGAGAGGCCTGGGAGGCCGCCTTTGTGCTCCAGGTCTGAGCTTTCATAACCTGCCTTGAAAGAGTTTCCTTCCCAATATATTCCACTATTCTTTGGTTATTTAACAAGTTGATAGGGGGGAACACACACACACACACAACCCTCACATGCTCCCCCCATCAGCTCCACCTCCGATAGGCTCACAGAGGTTTTATTTTTGCTTCAGACACTCTTCTGGAGTTCTTCCACATAAGAGGGAATCGCAGGCCAATCAGGATTCCCCCTCACAAGATGGCGCTCTCCACTAAAACACACAGGTAGAGTCACTTCACATGCTAGATTTTGAATAATCCATATGATTCCACAAGGTGGTGTGATTTATGATGTGCCCAGATTCCCAGCCATGGATATTCTCCTCTCCATCTGAGAAGGAACAGTCTGTACATGAAATGCAACATTCACTGAGTGGTGGTGGTGGGAGTGGGTCATTTAATTTCCCCATTCATTAACAAAGCAGCAGGTGGGGACTGACTTTTTTAACATCAGAAAAAGTCAATGGGTGAGAGAATCTGAACTCTCCCCCACCTCATCTTCCCATGGAGCTCCTCCCCTCCTCCTTGATACTTTTCTCTCAGTCCAGCTCTGAGAGTGAGCTGGGCTCTCAGAGAATTGCCTAAAGTGATGGGGCACAAGATGACCCACTGAAGGACTTCTCTTCAACCCACACAACTCTTCCGATGGGAACTTTGGCTGCCATTTCCACAGTTCCTTTGGGTAGGGCTAAAGCTTTCCCCAAGTATCTTGCTTCATTCTGACATCTAGCAAAGGCCTAACAGAATGGCTTGTGTAGAAGATGCACATTCATCAAGCAAATGCTGGCTCGAGCAAAGGAGATGGTGACCTCCTTATGACAAAGCGTCTCAGGCATCTTTGCGTTGAGTGGTGTGTCAAAGAATTCCAAGAAGAAATCTGTTTATTCTCCGATGGCATTGAAACACACAAAGGCTCTTACACTTGTCCCTGATCATCTGTAACTCCCACAAATTTCAGGGAAATTACAGGGTTATAGCCCAAAGACAAGGATGCTGAGTGCCGTGGCAAAATAAACAAGCGAAACAAGAGCAAGGAACAACAACTCTTATCTCTTTCTTTAAGCCACTTCATGCATTGCCACTGCAACCCAGCAGCTTCCATGGTGGTAAGCTGTTTCTCATGCACACTGACAATGCAGATATACACCTCACCTACACTGTATTGATCTTCTGAACTGTCTCGTGCTGGCTGGGTGCCTCTTTTGATGGAAACCGGGAGTGTGTATCCGCATTTGGGGCAAAAAAGTTGTTTTGTTTGACTAGTTGCCTGTGGGTCTATGAAAAGTGATTAGTATTCAACAAATCTGTACTCAGAGCAGAGCCGCTGAAATTAATGGACCTAATTTAGCCATCTTCATTCATTCCAATAGAGACACTCTGAGTCAAACTTAGCTGAATGCCACTCACTGCCCACAACTCCCTGGTGAGTGTGCCTGGCAGAAACTCCAGGTGCACATTTAAATGTAGAATTTTGCAGTATAATGAACAGTAATAAAACGACCTCTCGTGTTGACATGTAAAGGTAAAGGGACCCCTGACCATTAGGTCCAGTCGTGACCGACTCTGGGGTTGCGGCACTCATCTCGATTTATTGGCCAAGGGAGCCGGCGTACAGCTTCCAGGTCATGTGGCCAGCATGACTAAGCTGCTTCTGGCAAACCAGAGCAGCACACGGAAATGCCGTTTACCTTCCCACCGGAGTGGTACCTATTTATCTACTTGCACTTTGACGTGCTTTTGAACTGCTAGGTTGGTAGGAGCAGGGACCGAGCAATGGGAGCTCACCCCGTCGCGGGATTCGAACAGCCGACCTTTTGATCAGCAAGTCCTAGGCTCTGTGGTTTAACCCACAGCGCCACCCGCATCCCTTGTGTTGACATGTAAGATGCTCTAAATGTTCTCTAGTTCTCTAGACTGTGTATAAGGTTAAAAAGTAAATAAATGATAGGAGCACTGACCACCACTAATGGGCTGGATATTACATGCTAGGTTAATGGATAATGACAGATTTGTGCAAATAAGGGGTAATCTAACTTTTAATAATATTAATATTTCTAAAACATTTTGTCCTGCCTCATTATCCATTTCAGTGGTTGCTTTTGTCACAAAAAGCCGTTCTGACACAATCTGACTTTCTATTATGTAACCATGTGGCATCTTTTCGGAACTAAAAATGTTCCTTACTACCTAATATACCCATGTATTATTTATTCTGACTGACATCTCCTAGAATCACCTGTGATTGCTGCAGGCTTTCCAGCCCTTGCTTTGGCAAGGTAATAATAACTCCCAACCATTCGCAGTTCTGCTGTCCTGATCAAAGGAAGTGCAGTGTGATGCCTGATTGCCTAATCCTACCAGAGACCAAAATTCTGCTCACTTCATTAGCAGTTCTGTGCCTAGGAAGTGGGGGCGGGAGAGACTGCTGGAAGACTTGTCTATCAACCTGAACCTTCTACTCTTACATGCAGATATCTCTTGGCTGACTCACTCCCTGAGTTTCTTCCACTAGATGTTTCTTCTCAATCAACATATAAAGAATATGTTGGGGGGAGAGGAGCAATGAAGATGTTCTTTAGTACCCTCTACTGGATTTTGGTTTGAAGCTACCATGCCTGTGCTGCACATAATGGGAAACCACAAGTTCCACCTTGGCATGGTGAGAGGATTTTGAAAGCATCTATATGGGTTTTAAGGGACACGGGTGGTGCTGTGGGTTAAACCACAGAGCCTAGGACTTGCCGATCAGAAGGTGGCGGTTCGAATCCCCATGATGGGGTGAGCTCCCGTTGCTCAGTCCCTGCTCCTGCCAACCTAGCAGTTCGAAAGCACATCAAAGTACAAGTAGATAAATAGGTACCACTCCGGCGGGAAGGTAAACGGCTTTTCCGTGTGCTGCTCTGGTTCACCAGAAGCGACTTAGTCATGCTGGCCACATGATCCGGAAGCTGTACGTCGGCTCCCTTGGCCAATAAAGCAAGATGAGCACCACAACCCCAGAGTCGGCCACGACTGGACCTAATGGTCAGGGGTCCCTTTACCTTTTTATATGGGTTTTAAAGCACCTATAATTCATGGTTGCATCTGAACTCAGGGGAATTCTAGATATTTTTAGCAAGCCTTCCACAACCTGGTATCCTCCAGACCCCCATCAGCCCCAGCCATGATGGCCAATCATCTGGGATGGTGGAAGTCGGAGTCCAAAACATCTGGAAGAGACCAGGTTGGAGGGAGGCTGGATCATACACAGTGGTGTGAAGTTGTCTTGTGTGAACAAACCTTTTTTTAAAATATTTGCAGCTCCCCTGAGTTCCAAAGACTTCTAGGCAATTTTAAATCTCAACATGGTGTTTCTGATTTCCCCATCAGGGTTTGCCAAAGGAGGAGAGAAAAGTGTGGAAACCCACTCATGCACAGAGCACGAAACCTGGGGAGCAGGGTGGGTAACATTTTTCAATCCAAGGTCCACATTCCCTCAAGGGCAACCAGCTGGTGGGCAGGAACTGGAGACAAAAGTGGGAAAGCCAATGGATGTGACTCTTACTTTGTACACTAGGTTATTTTCCAACCATGCAGAAGTCTGAGGTCTCTACACACACACTTCTCCATCTCCCATTAAGACGAGCAACAGGCATTATCAAAGTGAGGGTGTGGCCTGAAGAGAGTGGGTGTGGCCTGGGAAGGGGGTGTGGCCAGGGAAGACTCCCAAGGGCTAGACAGAAAAGGCTGGAGTGCCACATTCAGCCCATGTTCCCTAGGTTTTCCACCCCTGCACTAAATACCGGCTTGGCATTATATACAAAATTTGCCTTGCTATCCCATGTCTGCAGTTGTCCTAGCATTCGGTGAATGGTAGCTTGTGGCTATGAATCAGAAAGTTCTCCTTTTGTGTCGCCAGAATTTAGAAAGGAAGTGACATTTCAAATTCAAGAAGAGCATCCATTAC